TTTTATCGATTCGTCAATTTTTTATTGAGTTGTATATTAAATATATAAATAGAGTGTTTAAGTTACGTAAGTTATGGAAGACTTTGATGTATATATAAACTAATTATTGCTTATTTAAATTCCAAACGTGTAACGAAACATTTTACGATTGACATTTCGACAGTTTAAAGTAAAGGACATTGTGCAATATGGAGATTGGTAGCACTGTCGCCAACTATCAGCCAGGAAAAAAAAAATGGCGGGAAAAGGTTACACTTTGAAATTAACATTGTCAATAACGAAATTATAAATCTTCTATTCAAATCTATCTACAAATCAAAATCAAATCAATGTTGCATTTTTTCAATAAATGTATTATTTCATTTGTATATATAAAAATATGTCATTTTTAAAAACTTCATAAAAATTACACTTGATATAAACGTCTTGTATAAAAATTTAATACTTATACTTCTAACTTATAAACTAAATACATTCTTAAACTTAAGTATTTATAATTTATTCGCACATATACTTTACAAATGGTTATATGATCAATAATTTATTTTTTATTCCATAGTAAGTACTTTGCCATCAAAAGACTAAATAGATTGAGACAAAGAAAAAAAACTTACGCTTTCACATTATCATCAGGCTGCGCACTTATTGTTTTCATTATCATTAAGTACTTAAGGCCTTATATTTTATAAGTAACACTTATTGAGTACTTTTTAATATTTGTACCTTATTTCTTAATACTAAATTTCATTTAAGTGAAGTTCAGTCCCTAAAAATCAATCAGTTTGTCTTCGAAGTCAGATCTAATTATGTACATGGACAAATAAGAGATTTTGATGTAAAATAATATTATAAAAGTAAATCAGATATTTTTGTCTTGATATGTAAGTAGATGTACTGTCTTTTTATCAGCTTATTTCCCAGTCAGTGAAATTTTTTACCGCTAAGCCAATCAATATATAATTAGTTTTTATTTAATCGAGACCATGAGATTCTTCATTAAACCAATGTGAAATTCATGATCCTGAGATTCAAGGATAGAAATGCAAATTCTGGAGTATCACGAATGAATCAATGTTTGTATACAAATCAGAAACAAAAAAAGTAGTTTGCTCTTTAGTAACAAAGTAGTAAGTAAAATAATACATATTTTTCCCTAAAATATAAAATATATTTCTAAAATCCTCCGGCAGTAAACTTGGCAGATTTATCCATGGCTAAACTTTATCTATAGTATCTACATCAGAAAATCGTCTCGCTGACACTTCTGTCCTGGTCCTTCCTGATCCAGGTTTATACGAAACTGGCGGCACTTTAGCCAAGCTTTTCAGTTTTCCCGATAATTGGCACACACAAAACAATCCTGCTCCCACAACGAGTCCACTAACCAATGCTGCGCCCGCCGAATAAACCAGCAGCAACCTCACTGAATCTATCAGTACATCTAAACATCCCCTCTGGTACACCGAGGCACAAGAAGATCCAAACGGTGTAGAAATATGCTCTCCACCAGGCGCAGCGGAGCAGCAGGACCAGGAAACTCCTCGTCCGGATCTTCTGTAATCGGCAGGTCCATCTAAGCCAGCAGCGTCGTTCGTTTTGGACGCTGCTTTCCCAAATTTATCGTGACGGACGTCGCCTAATTGGGCCTGGTTAAAGATATTTCTATATGTTCCGTGGAGCGGTCGCCGACGGTGTGGCGGAAGGCTAAGGAGACTCCACAGGTAGCAAACAGGGCACCGGCCAGGAAGATCAGCATCCATGTCAACTGGGGAAATATCACTACATTTTAACAAGCCATATTCTCCAGAAATGATAATCCAGATGCGCCAAGCGTGATTTTCATTATTAGTGCGTGATGAGAATAAAGTACATGATAACATCTAAGTCACTACACCAGATTTAATTTGAGAAGCCATGCGGATGTTTTTGTGATGGTTTAGATGACAATGAAAAACTACGATTATACTAAATACGATCTAAAATTACGGAAACTAGACTATATATTTCCTAAAAGCAACGAACAGAATAGTGCGTTGTATAGACCAGGAGTTTGTCCTGGTATGTTCAACTCAGTTTCGCTATAAGTTAATTATTCTCATACCATGCAGCTATTAAAACTCACCATATTCAATTTGCTAATTTTCCTTTTGCTGGTGGCTCCCCATCCGTACCAGGCGAAGAAAATTGCGGCGACTCCGCAACAGCAAAGTGCGGCCATCGGCGACCATGCCGAGGAATGTAGAACCAGGCCATGGGACAAGGAGTAGACGTCTAGGAGAAGGTAACCTGCACATAGGGTTATGCCGACTCCCAGAAGCTAAATAAAGAACAAAAGTATATAAATAAAGATGTACTGCTTTTCTTCTCTGTCAGATATATTGATACATGAATGAAGATATCATTTCGTATTTATTTTTAGCAACACAAAGATAATATTGTGGGCTTATTAATGGTTTTTGGATGTAGCCAGATGTTACAGTGCTATGAAACAGATCTCTCTCTATATATTTTAGTTAGAGTATATCTTGTTGCATTTTAATGTTTAATTTTAGGCCGCACTTTCACAATCGGGAACGAATCGGAAATTATAGTAAATAAAATATGTTTAAGCAGATAAATTCAATGTATAAATGCTAAATGTGAAACTAATAACGCAAAACTTGTGCAAAAATAATATATATTCAAATAATTAAATAAATAAATAAATATATATATATATATATATATATATATATATATATATATATATATATATTACTAGGCCATGTGTCATTTATCTTCTCAAAGTAATAAGAAACCTGCCAGCATGTTTAAACAATGATGAACTTTCCGAGAAATATTTTAGTCAGATAGCAATTATGTGTCATATATGATGTGATATCGGAATCCTGAATTATTTTCACACACAAATAAGAAACTTGATACCTTATTTAGACTAAAATTAAGTCACATTTATTGATTGTTATTAAAAGACAAGATAGTCTTCTTATCTCCACAGTGAGTTGTAGGAGAAATGAATGCTTGAGCAAGACGGATACCCACTTTGAAAAATTAAATTTTAAAACTAAATATTTTTAATTAAATACTGTATATATGATTAGTGAAAATTCAAATAACTAACATTATATGAAGGCAATTTGATTTAGTATATTTTAATTGATTATATTAGAATGATCGCGTAATTTATAAATTAGACTTGTTATATATTTAATTAAATAACCGAGTAATCTAATAAAACACAATCAATTTAAAATTATTGATATAAACCCGTATTATCAGCCCACATCGTTTAATTTTTATTTCAAGTTCATTAATATATTTATTTAATTAATTAAATTTTATAATATATATATATATATATATATATATATATATATATTTATAACGATTATCATTGTAAAATCTGGTTATTACCCAGTAAACCACAAACGTAACATAAAGTTAAAGTAACGTAGCACAGAAGAAACGTTGTTATGTATTTTATGGTTACGTTAATAAAACGTAAATGTTACGTTTAATTGTAACCTTTAAACGTTAATGCATGGTTTTCTTCATAACGTAACCGTTCAGTTACAGTGTTTTGTAAGTTTAACATACAAAATGGACGGTGTGGTACAGCTGTTTCACAAAACTGTCAAAAAGATAGGTTACGTGTTCTACTCTTTTATGTATGCGAGACTCTATGCACGAAAATACAATTGAAAGTTATTCGTGACTCTATATATTTTACTTTTCTGTCTATGACTAATGGCTCTAATGGACGCTTCATATTGAAGATCTTTTGACAAGCAAATTATTTCATTCTTTGAAGCATTTATTTAATCATTATTTATATGATTAATATTTTATATGATTAATGTAGAACGTATTAGTTATGCAGTGTGCAGTTAAAATGTTTAAAATGGAATCGATCAAGGTAAGTATAAATATAAAACATGTGTAAATTATTTTAATTTATATATTATTATAATAATGATTTTTTTTTTCAGTATATAGTTGGACCTTAATGGAAATTCTATTCGCGTATTTTGTTATTTGTAGATGTTTTCATCAAATGTATGTTTATCAAATAATAATTAAATTCTACAAAAAAATCATAACCTCAATGATTATTGCAATGTTGAGTCAAAAGGTTAGTAAAAATGAGATATACAAATACAAATTTAATATTTGTAGCCCCTTCAGTAACAATAATATAGTTCGGCTAAACAGGAATAAAACTAATACAATGGTTTTCAATTGAAGAAATATAATGACTCAGAACATAATAAAGATATTTGCTCAAATAAAGAATATGAATGCAAAGTTAGAATATAAAATAATAATCCACCATCATCACGAAAAAATGATTTGAAGAAGAATAAAATTTTTTACAGCATTAAATGATGACACTCGTGTCATGTGTCATGGAATTGGTATACCCCATTATGATAGTTAGAGATGATTAGATGATTTAGTATTAATTTTTTATGATTTAGTTTTAGCAAAAATATGATTTAAAAGTCGGTGGATGAAATTTGGCTGAACTGACAAGAAACAATTAAGACAATATTTGAGCAATACGTTCATAAAGGAATTAGCTGCACTTTGTTCTTAATAAATAATGAAAGTAAATAGAGGTAATTAGAAGTATTGTTACAATTTATAATAATAATCACAATATTTCCAAATCATAACCTTCTATTGTTTTTACTTCAGCAAAAATATATTTAAAAATTCAGAGACTAAAATCTTCTTTATTGTCTAAAGTGTAATTCGATGAAGAATTAATATGTTTTTGGTATTGTTGAAAGGACTGCCTAGCTGTCAATAACTTGAAAATAATGAATATTTTTAGAGGTAATGTTACAAAAAATTTAAATCAATATTATCAATAAACAATTTGTAGAAATTGTTTCTAACCTGTTTGGTTCTGTTTTAGATACATTTACAAACAGAAAGCAGTGAAATGGTTTCAATTTGATAAACAAAGGTTGCCAAGAATTTTACACAAGACTTATTTTCAATGGTTAAAATTTTATAATCAAAATAAAACATTTAATTCCATCCTGTTAAATAGAAATTTGTTAGAATTGTTATTTTTTGTTTTAGATTAATCAAATTTTTAAAATCCAAATTTATATTCTGTAGTTTTGTAATTTTAAGTATATTTTAAGTTTATGTAAATTTTGTAAATTCTTAATTATAATATGAAATAAAATTAATATAAAAAATGGTTTCTATATTTACAGGAAATTTTATTAAATTTTTAAGTTACATCAAAGACACCTACACGTTAATTTAGTAATTTAGAAACCTAACAAAAACGAAACCGTTACGTTTTCGCGCAATTTGGAAACGTTACATAAACGAAACCGTTATGTTTTCGCGTAACTAAACAGGCCGTTACGTTTTTGAGGCGGAAATAGATACGTCTGTGTGTCTCTTAGGTTACGTAACCGTTATGTTTTACGTATAATCTGTTACGTTCTATTAACGTTTTCATTACGTTTTGTGGTTTACTGGGTAGTATGCACAATCAAAATTTATCACTGGGGCACAAAGATGATACATAAAAATTAAATAATATATTTAACACAAAATTCCAACCATTTTAGTAAAATTAATATTTAAAGTTTACGTAAGGCAATTGCTGGAACTTCCCGTACCTCAACGAAATATTCGAGGAATATTAAATATTTTCAAATAGATTATTATAAATACGGTAAAATTGTCTAATGTTTTGGAAATTTTAAATTTTGAAATTTAAAAAAAAATCTAAAAGCCATCACAAGCAGAAAGTGTATTGAATCATTCAAATCGGATGCTTAGTTCTCTCAAAAACTATCATTTTTGCACATTTACTTCGAAATGAATGGACCTGCATTCGACAAAAAATAATCAGCACATAATAGAAATCAAATGTTTCAAAACGTGAAGATATGCAAAAATTTTCAATTACGATTTTTGGACGATTACAATAACTCAAACTTAATACCAGAAATATAAATTACTATATATGGAATGCAGTGTAAATATTATTATAAGTTGGAATAATACACTGCATATGTATGTGTGTATGAAAAATATTTTATTACAATGTTGCTGTTATTAAGTCTACAATATTGTTTTTACATGTATAAGATTCAAATATTTTATTATCGCTGGAATATTTCTCTTCAAAAATAATTATAATAATGATAACGATAAGAATAATAATAATTCTTAAGTTTTCTGTTATTACTTTGACCAACACTGCAAAAACATGACTCATCGGAAAAATATTTAATTTTACTATAATTATAGCGCTTTAGCCGACATTAATTTCATCATCTGTTTATACCACATTTATTGCAGAAGAGTATGTATAACTATGTTAACATATGAAGAATATAAAAATAATTATTGTAAGAAGTTAATATTATTCTAATAAATATATAATTAAAAATGTACTTTTATATTATCTCAGCATTGCAAAACTTTAAGATATAACATACTAAAATTACAAATTAAGGGGCGTCCATTAACCACGAGAGGGGTGTTTGACAAAAAATCATAAAACATCACGTGGGGGAGGGGGTGGAGTAAGATATAACGTGTGTTTATTTTCCACCTGAATTTTTTTCAAAAAATCCAAACATTTTCAGAAAAAAATAAAAAAAATTACAATTTTTTCTCGTAACTAAAAATACACGTGCTGTTTGGTAGGCGAGGGGTATAATTTTGAATATCACTATGTATCATCATGGAGGAGTGGAGATCCAAAAACTCTTAAAAAATCAATCACGTGATTAAGGGACGCCCCCTTAGTAGTGCGTGTAATGGTGTGTCCTGGAGAGCTCATTGAAATCAATAATACCCATGTGCAAGCAATATAATCAAGATATGTACAAAGACTGTTGAAATAGTTTACAGATGAAAATTTTATTTTTAATTTTTTATTAAATCTTTATTTTTTAATTTTATTAGAAAACCATCAATTTTATTATTTATTATTATAATAATAATAAAATTGTAATAATCGTTATAATGATATAAGACATTTTGAAGCATAATCAGATTGCAATTATAGAACAAAAAGGTCATTTCATTGAATATCTCCATTCATGTACTAAAAGAGCAGAATTTTGTTCATTAACGAAAAGGGGGTTTAAAAAGATAAATTAAAAAGATTCAGCAAATTTTCTGAGGCCACTATTCTTATCTTTATGTAAAATAAAAAGATTTTTGGTATTGAAAGTATGGTTCAAATTAATAATATGTTTCGAAAACATAGTCTTACATTGATTTGGATTTTTTGAATCCCTAAATAGACTGATTCATTCTCCTGTAAATATA